AGCTCCTATCCTAACCCTAACCCGTACCTCTACCCCCCACAGCTCCTTCCGTAGTCCCTCTACCTCTATCTCACCACTGACTCTGACCAGTGTTTCTCCTCTGTATAGCTTATTGTCATAGTGATGAGAAATGTAATATTGTGTCTACTCTGTAAGTCGCTTTGGATAAAAGCGTCTGTTAAATGCATAAACATAAACATAAGATCCTGTTCAGACGCGGAGGCCGTACTCGGGCCGCGCCTCTCGGCTAGAACCGCCCCAGAAGTCGCTCGGCCAGAAAATCAAGTAACACAATTCTTTCTTGATCGTTTCGACCATCAGCGGCTCGGCCGAGACGTTAGAAAGTCTAAAGTTACACCGCTTTAACTCGATAGGCAGCGATGACACAGCACAGGAGCAGAGGAACACACTCATAACACTCCCCAGCAGGGAGCAGCAAACTGGGTCAAAAGTGTCCACAGAGAGCCTCAGTGCTAAGAAAAATATATATATTTTAAAAAGTGGCCTAAAAAAAAAGTCCCGCCCCCTTTTTCTTTTGGTTCTTAAATTTCTTTAAGTTTCTAAGCCGATGTAAAGTCCTAAAACCCAAAATGGTTTAGACTGAAATATCCTCTTTACTCCTACAACTGGTTCAAATGATGTTTGAAATCTTCAAAAGGGGTGTTTAAAAAGGATGCTTTGACTCTCAAAGTGTCACTAGATTTATAATTAGCATCCTTTAGGATCTTAGTAATCCAGATTTGGATGTTTCTGTAGCACAGAGTCTGACACAGACCTGAAAAGAACAAAAACCCAAGAACAGGCTCACAATTTAAAAAAAGACAGAAAAAAACTAAGAAACTCACTCTGTCAAATCTGCCCACCGAGGCGATCATGCTGCAGTCGGAGGACACGCAGCAGCAGTTGATCCAGTCCTTATGTCCAGAGAGGACCTGCACCTTCCTGCCTAAGAAAACAACACAAAAAACACACACACAGACACACAAAAGGAGTCTGTAGCTGAGCTGAATGACACCGATGGCTGGGACCTCACAGGGCATCCTGAGTCCTGCTGACCACTCAGACAGCAGGCAGGAGGCCCTATGGGTCAGCCTGTGTGTGTGTGTGTGAGTGTGTGTGTGTGTGTGTGTGAGTGTGTGTGTGTGTCCTTGTTGCTGCATCAGAGTGAGAACCATAATTAATTTTTAACCAACAATGTGAGGTCTTTTTTGGAAAGTGAGGACATTTTTGTGGTCCTCACTTTCTGTGTGTGTGTGTGTGTGTGTGTGTGTGTATGTATGTATGTGTGTCACCTAGTGGGAAAATTTGAAAACTCAATCTTTCTAAGACGCTGACAACTACTTTCACTTGGTCCTCATTCTGAGGTACTTACAAGAGTGTGTGTGTGTGTGTGTGTGTGTGTGTGTGTATACCTTTGTGAGCAAGATCCCAGATCCTCAAAGTCTTGTCCCTGGAAGACGATATGAGTGTGAGCGTCCCGTTCTGAGGGAAAACCAGGTCCCTCACCACTCCCTCATGGCCGTGGAGATCAAAAACGGCATTCCCTTAAAAGAAAAAACAGAAATACAATTTTAAAACTGAAAAAGCTCTTTTCCCGTGGACCACGGCTCCCCCGTGCCTCACCCGTTAGCACGTTCCAGATCTTTATCACCCCGTTCTCCAGGCCCGTGGCCAGGAGCAGGCTGTTTTTCCCTTTTGCCGGCCTCCTGGCCGGAGCCCCTTTGGGGGGCCGGGGCCCGAAGGCCAGCCCCCACACGGGGTGACCGCAGCTGAAGCTCTTGTCTCCCCTGTCCGTCTCTCCATCCTGACCCTCTCTGTGGGCGAGAAAAGGATCAAGTATGCAGACTCCCAATGTAGGCAGCCTGCGGCAACATTTTTAAAACGCTATTGATGCCAAAGGACGCCATTTTCCTTTGGTTTTAAAGAGAAAAAGAAAAAAAGAGCTAATGGCACCCACTTGGATTCTTCTCCATCCACACGGATTTAAATGATCCAAGCCTGAGCAGCTTGTGTTTTAACACATTATGTGGGTCTCAGTTGGCGTTTGGAGCATTTAAGACTGATCACATTTAGAGTTGAGTACAAAAAAATAAACGATACACTTTTTTTCTTCGTTTTGATTTGCTGGAAGCGAGAATCCCTCCGAAACGACGCGCAGCATCATCCCTGAACGTTCGTTAACGAAGACAATACACTTGACAAAACACACAGACATGCAACGGTTGTTGTGCAACACCCACTTTGCTCTACACAAAGGTCAAGATAGTGTGCGTGGTGCGTTCATGACTAACTGTGTGTCTTTAAAGGGGGGAGGAGAAGAATTATATAAAAGAAGCCCTGAAGGTTCAGAGTTCACAGTTTACTGCTCTCCGCCAATAAAAGATGAGCTGCTTTTAACATGCCTGGACGTACCTTTTAATACATATATTCCAGGTGTTTCTATATCCCAAATATACGCTTTTGCATGTTTAACCCAAGATGCATTAATAGGATTTAATTGTAGATAATTCAGTCTATGATATCTAATGATATCTCCATTATTATGAGCTGTCCCAGTGGAGAAAAGTGGGTATTTATGCTAAATTCTGGGTCGTAAACGGCCTGCTTCTCTCCTCAGAGGCTGCTGCCACTATGCTCGAGGGGGGCCGTGACGGCATCACGTACGTGGGGAGGGTAAAGGGGGATTAAACGCCCAGGTAAACCTACTCTGAGTCTAGAGGCCAGGCGACCACCCAGACGATGCCGTGGCCCATGGACCAGGCGAACCAGGCCCCGTCCGGGGAGAAGTCCACGCTCCAGGTCTCGCATCCGGCCAGGTCCAGCAGGGAGGGGGGCCGCCGGGTCTTCAGCTCCAGGAGGAGCGCGGGGTCTGACGCTGCCGGGGGAGGAGAAGGGAAAACGGCACGCAGTCAGCGTTTGACAGACTCATGCGGGGGGGGGGGAGTTTGTCGCCTTTCGGTCGACCCCTTAGCCGTTAAACCTCACTTCACCTCGATATGTTCACCCAATTTTTTTTTCAACGTTCTCTCTTATTTCTTAACGGTTTTTTTTAACGTTCGCCCCCTAAGGCGACGGCTGCCAGGCGACGGAGCGTTGCGATGGCAACTCGCGGTTTTACGGACAGGGGACTTACAGGTCGCGCGCAGCTCCGCCTTGCTGTCAGTTGAGCACATCGTTGCTTTTTCTTCTCATTCTTCGCCGCTGGAGGAAAAACGTCCCAAACGCGCCCTCTCCGCCGGACGCCAGCCCTCCTCCATGCGAGCCGAGTCGGGATGTCACGGCGAGTACGTGTCCGGGGGAGGTGGGTGGGTGGTGGTGGTGGGGGTTATAGGACGGTTGGAGGACGGTTGGTGGACGGTTGGAGCCTCCTCCTCCTCCTCCGGGTCCCAGATGTCGGGCGCTAGCTATGTGCGGAATGTGGCCGTCAGAGGGGAAACGCTCAGCTGATTTCCTGACGGCTGACTCAGTTTTGTAGCACGGGCTGTGGCGTCGACCAACGTGGTCACGTTTTCCCTTCCGTTACGTAACCGTTAAAAGGCCTTAGCCACGCCCCCCCGTGAGATTAACAACACAGCCGGGCGGCCCTGTGGTTCCCACCCTTTGTTGCTGACAGATAAGTAATCCGAAAAAGGAACCAGGAGGCAAAATAAGAGGTGGGGGAAAAAAAGGTTTATGGGTTAAAAGTGATGTGGTGGTCAGCACCATGGCCTCACAACAAGAGGGTTCTGGGTTGGAGTCCCCGGGGGAACCAGGACCTTTCTGGGTGGAGTCTGCATGTTCTCTTGTGTCTGTGGGTTCTCTCCGGGTTCTCCACCGTCCAAAAACCTGCATGTTAGGTTGGCTGGACACTGTGTGGTTGTTGGTCCTTGTGTGTCTCTGTGTGTCCCTGTGATGGACTGGGGACCCGCCTCTCGCCCGTTGACTACTGGGTTAGGATCCAGTCCCCCATGTGACTCCATTAGGGAATAAGCAGTTCAGGATGGATGGATGGGGTTAAAAGTTAAACAAAGGCCCGTTTTGCCTCCCTTCTTCCCACTGAAACAGAAACTCCCAAGATGTTAGCAAAGAAACCGGATATTTGAGGAGTTTTCCACCTTCAGAAGCTATCGAACCAAACAAAAAGTGTGAAAGGAGGAAACTTGAGTCCTGAGGCGACTCTAAACTAATGTGCAGCTGTTCGCTGTGCTGGGTGCTAGAATGATTTATATTTAGTGGTTCTTTAGAGAAGCCATTTTGAAGAATCCCTTTAGTTTGTCTGCTTATTGGGAACTAATGACGTCTTCTGAAATGAAACATTGATGACCGGATCGTTGCTTAAAAGCCCGAGCGTCGTCCCAAACCTATTTCACATACAGAAACATCATGTTTTTTTAAGGAAAGAAACACAATAAATAGGATTTCCTTTTTTTTTTTAAATCCTAAACTGCCGTGAGTGGATTCTCCTCACACAGGAGTCCTGACCCGGTTTTGTTTGGGTTGCGTGTCTGTTGTTTTTGTCTCGTCACACACAGACTTTATAGCTTTTCCGGATCCACGTGAACATGTAAAAAAAACACCCACACGTGGGCATTTCCAGATCCAGAGCTTAAATTATTCCCGTCTCAGCTCGCGTCAGGTTCTCTGGATCTCCTTCTTATAGATGCGATACATTATTTAAATGCTCTGGCTCCAGCCTGCTGTTAAAAAAAGCCCCGTGAACCCGTACATACGTTAGTTTAAAGACTAAAACCCTCTCGAACAGATGGAATGACGGAGGGCTGACTGGAGCCTGATGCTGGTTTTTCACATTTCTGCTTTGCTGAGTATTTAATCAGGATTTTTACCTAAAAAATATCCGTTTGACTTCCTCTCTCACCAGAGAAAAGCAAAACAAAAACCATCTTACTGTGTGCCAATGGGAGGAATTACAGCCTTTACAGATGTTAAATAAATGACTTAAACTACTGCAAAGAGGATAAAAAAAGTAGAATCACCCTCAGTTGATCCAGTAATTTAATATTTTCCCAACAGTTCCATCGGCCGCATTTCATGCGAATCCGACTAGAGCGAGTTTGTCTTTATGAACCTCCACCAT